CTCCTACTGCCCCACCACCTATGTCCTAAGAGGATGATTGAGCAGTTTCCAAAGCTTGTGGAAACACATGCATCCATCTGTAATTTGTAAAAGAAGTTTACATGTTGTTATGCTACTTGGGTTATTTGGATTTTAACTCCACTGCAGTTTGTAGAACTCCTTAATTACAATAGTAAAGAAACAAAGAATCTTTAAATTATCAATACTGTAGCTTTAAGAAAAGAGAGCATTGCTGGCAATTTGAGAATCAAACGAAGTTTTAATGATTGATAAACTGAAATGAATTGCATATAGGCAATAATCCAATAAGAAGAAAGTGCAGGTTATCAAACAATACAAAGTTCATTAATAAGTATTTCCTCAGAGAAGTTTTTAATAAGAGTCTTTAGGTTGCTGGGAATAATCTTCAATAGAAACATTAAGCAGGTAGCAGAGAGTATTTGCAAAGCAAGAACCAGTTCATAGTAAATAAGCATGATGGGAGTTGTCCTCCATATAATTAATAACTTGAAGCAGAGAAGATTTGAGCAAGCAGGCATTGGTTAATTAATAAATGATATTGCAGACAATAGTTGAAAGAAATACTTAAGGTTAAGGTCAGTGGCGTACATACCAGGGTCGCAGGGGTCGCGGCTGCGACCGGGCCCGGCCCACCAGGGGGCCCGGCCGCCCCTGCGACCCGGTATGTAGCCACAGGGCCAGCCTCTTCTCCTGGGGGGCCCAGGAGCCGACCACCCCAGGGCCCCCAGAGGCTGGCCTTGCTGTCACCCGGCAGGCGGGTGGCCGGTCGGGCGGGCAGGCAGGCGGGCGCGCGAGGGAGCACTCAGTGCTTCCTCTTCAGCTCCATCGCGCACCACACTGATACCGGAGCTGGAAGATGACATCCCTAAGCGGCGCGCGAGGGAGCTGAAGAGGAAGCACAGCTCGCCCACCCGCTCGCCCACCCAGTGACCTGCCGCCCAAGAGCCCAGCAGCAGCACCACTGGACCCCAGGGAATCCCCCCAGCACTCCAAAACGTAAGGAGGCTGGGGGGATTAAATTTAAAAAATAAAAATGTCTTAGTATGTGTGTATGTGTGTCTTAGTATGTGTGTATGTGGGTCTTAGTATGTGTGTGTGTGTGTTAGTGTGTGTCAGTGAGTGTGTCTGTTATTGGGTGTGTGTCTGCTATTGAGTGTGTTACTGTGTGTGTCTGTTACTGAATGTGTTTGTCTGTTAGTGAGTGTGTGTTTGTCAGTGAAAGTGTATGTTTTGTAAGTGAGTGTGTATGCGTCTGTTCGTGAGAGTGTGTGTGTGTGTGTGTCTCTTCAGCATTTACCTTTCTCCAGCGTCGGACTCCCCAGTGTCCGCCTCTCAGCTCCGAATGCAAATGCGTGGCAAGAGGCGCGCGCGCGCGCATTTAAACCGCCCATAGGAAAGCATTACTCAATGCTTTCCTATGGACGTTCAGTGTCTTCTCACTGTGATTTTCACAGTGAGAATCGCGGAAGCTCCTCTAGCAGCTGTCAATGAGACAGCCACCAGAGGCTGGATTAACCCTCAGTGAAACATAGCTGTTTTCACTGCTTTGTTTTCAGCTGCAGGGTTAAAACTAGAGGGACCTGGCACCCAGACCACTTCATTGAGCTGATGTGATCTGGGTGTCTGTAGTTGTCCTTTAAGTGTGTGTGAATACCGGGGTCGCAACCCCTGCGACCAGGTGCCCGCCGCCATGTGTTGCGGTCCCGACCCGCGCCGAGTAAGCGCGGGGGGGAGGGGGGGCCCATGGATCAATTTTCGCACCGGGGCCCCATGGGTCATGTGTACGCCACTGGTTAAGGTGAGTTGTCCTCCAAGAGTTCAGAGTTATAGTCTACTTGTAAATTAGCAAGTATCCGTTCTCCAGTAATCCTTTATGGCATGCAGCAATCCTTGCATTGGCTCAAAGGCTGGGACGGCTTGTTAGAGCTTGTGGAGCCGGCGTGTATAGCCGGAAGTAGGTCCCACAATCACCAAGTGCCTTCTCCCTGGCGCGGTCTCCCTAAGTACTGTCAGAGCCGTGTCAGAAGGGGGCGAGGCCGGCATCCGCAATGCGGAAGTGCGAACCCGGAAGAGATACTGCATGACACATGTCTATTGCATGTAAAACAATAAATCTATAATTGTGCTGTATATACTGTATCTTATATTATATGCATTGTAATGTTTTTCTATGTACTCTTCTGGACATATCTAAAAGAAACAAAATCTTAATGTTTTTTTCTTACTAAAGTATTTTATAAGGCCTCTGCCTTCCCCATTGTTAATTAAAGAACAGAAACTTATGCTGTATAATATAACCTGATTCTGCAGGCTATTTGAGGAACCTGCATGAAATAAATATAACGGAGGCCTCAAATTTATATTATTGGATTCGCTTTTCAAATGATTTTAAGATTATATTTTTATATATAACAGTTTGAATATGATTTGGAACTTTTAATATGAAGGACATTTGCGAGTATTAATGTGTAAAAGTAAAACCCAAATCCGGACTTTCAAAAATGGCGCTGCCATTAACTGCGTCTCGGATGTATGTAGAGAGATGACGTCGGACGGAAAACGGAAATGGAAACACGTCATCAATCCGAGACGGAAATGTAAAGAGGCGCGAGAAAAAAGTGGGCGGCAAAGGCCCGGTTGGCGCCAAAGAGAAGTGATCGGATGGGGTATTTAAAGAATGTATGGTCAATTGCAAGACACTCTTTGAAAAAGACCATTGGGTTGAAACGCGTTAGTGTTATTGCTACCTTTTTATTGTTATATTTATTTTTTATTGAGTTTGATTAAACCTACTTTTATACCTTGGAACTCCGGATTTGCATATTATTCTTTTGCTGACTCCTGGTACCAGTCGGGAAAATTGCATTAGCGGAAGGAGTGGATGTGCATCCGAAAGGAAATCTGAATATGCTGTTATAGTCAGAGCCTACTATACGTGGTTCTGAAAATTGTGGAGTATATGTGATATGAAGAACAAGTATCAATAAGTATTATATTTGTTATACTTTTGGTATCACACACTTTTTAGAGCGCCCCCTATCTGTATTCTTTTCAATTACTATGTCTGTGTTTTTTAAAGTGGTTTTCAAACACTGGGAATGTCGCACTTATAAGGAGAGTTACTTAGAACACCTCACCTCACTTGCACTCTGTGTTAAGAGATTGCTGAGTTACATAATTCAGACAATGAAAGCTTCTATTGCTTTTGATTTTTGCCAATAAATAGTGGTTCCTTAAAACTTTCTACAAATTAAGGGTCTGATGTCGAAAAATATTGTTTTCAAGAAGTAAAGTATGATGTTGTGAGGCACACACTTGAGTTTATTCTTTGTCTCTGTTTAATTTGAGAGTGCAAAATACGTTGGAGGTTTTTTTCTCAGCATTGTCTAGATTTGTAACATCATACCGTAGTCAGGAAATCTAGAAATCATCTATTTCGCTAGTAATTCCACTTTGCTCTGGTTGAAGTGGTTCTTGTAGACCTTAAAGATGGGATTTGTGAGTTTTTTAGGAGGGAATCTCTAGAAATGTCATATAGAATTGTGATTTGTAGTTTTCTTGTATAATATATAATGATGAATACCATCCAAAATGAGGATCTGTAGATCCAGAAGATTAACTGTTTGCTCAATGTAAATTTAGATTTTTCATGATTTGAGTTTATAAAAGACATTGCTCGTCTGATTTTGCTATGAATATCCTATCCAGATAGCAAACACTTCCATATTACATACTAATACTACACACAAATAAATTAAATGTTCCACAAATCAATGAACACACTTTTCTAATAAAAAGTTACTTTATAAAAAAAAAATTAACAATGAAATAAAGCAAAAAAACTAAAACAAACGAGAGTGCAAGAGTAAACTCAAACAGTTTGGTGGGTCCTCACTAATTTAGCTTATCCTGTGCCATTACTAGATGGGTCAAACGGTTCTTATCTGCTGTAACATTCTATATTTCTATGTTTCTGTGACAGAGAGAACTTGATCCATTTGCAGATCAGACTAATCCACCCAAAAAGGCACTTCTGAAATGTTGGCTGTTTCCATGTGCACAAGAAAAACTAATGAACAATTTCGTCCATCAAGGTGGAGAGGTTAACTGAATGTTTAAAGTGCTACATCATTATTTTTGTTTTGATTAGTAAAAACAAATTGCATTTTTATTGTCAGCTCAACACACATTCTTGTTTGATCAGGTAACAGCAGCACTTTTAGCTGTACTTCAAAAAATACTGAAAGGAACACCATACAGTTAGAAATACAAAACTGTATTTTTAATGCTATAGTGTCTCTCTGCCTCCACTGATGCCCCCAGTGTTGAATAGTGATTTAAAAGTGTTGAAAAAAATCTTTTTAACACTTATCCCTTTCCGTCTCCTTCTCCCGCAACATTAAATTTTGTGAAAATGTAGGAAGAGCCTCTAGTGGGTCTTTGAGCTTTCTCTGAAACAGCAATGTTTTATGTTGCAGGATTAAGGGAACAGGGACACTGCACCCAAACCATTTGTAGCACTTCCTGAACAAATACACGGCATTTTTCTCATGTGAGAGCTCTTCTGCAGGACTCTGGGCATGGACTGCCCTGGAAGAGCATTGAATCAATCTGCTCACTTTGAGAGGGGGGTGCTGGTAATTGGTAATGACAAAACACCGCTCTGACCCCATCCATTTCTAACTGGACCACTTAGATTACAGAATGCCCAGACTGACTTTATTTACCCAGTCCGTGTCAGGATCCAAACCTTAATTTTGGTATTTAATTCCTATCTTTCAAGTTTATTTCTGCAGTAACTATGTTTTACCACTAGTGGCCTCCGGAACCACTAGGTCTAAACTTCTTTCTCTCATCCGTACCTGCCTGGACTAATTACTGATGCTGTAAGAGGCCACAACTTGCTAAAGGAAGTTGCCTTTAAGTTGATTCAGGTTGTGGTTCTGAACGTGACTTGAATTTTGATCATACTGAGAAACCTGCTTTGTTTCCAGATGGCTCTTTTCCAAGAAGCTTGGTAACAAAACCTTCTTTATTTCATATTGGACTTTATTATCTTTTTACCTTGTTCACATACCAGCTTTACAACTACCGGAGTCAACTCAACCAACCTGCTTTATTCATACTGGACTTTGTTACCTTTTTACTTTTCTTGGAAACCCCTTTTACTCCAACTGAATTCAACCCAACCTACCTGGATAATACTGACTATCCTAACAATTTGGTTCTATCCTGAATAACCCTGCTGCAATTATCTGATGACTGCATTACTGCCTCCAACCAAAAGACTCTGAATAACTCTGAAAATGTCTATTAAACCTGAATTCATTATATCTTCATATTTTATTTCTCTCTGTCTTATTATGTTATGTTTGCCAGTAACCTATAATTTCTCTTACAAGTTTTCTCTCTTTTGATTTACCTGTTACTTGACAACCTGCTTGGGGCAAATTGCCTAAACTCTTAATTCTGTTCTTTCCTTAAACCTATAATTCCATTTATAGGTTCTTCTATCTATTTCTTTATCTATCTATTTCTTTATATCTTGTTTTTAACCTATAACTCTGTTTATAGATTGTTCTTCTTTTATTTCTTTATATCCTGTTACTTGCCTATAATTCCATTTTATGGGTTCTCCTTCTTCCTCCTAATCAATCATTCCGTTTATAGGTTATTTTTCTATCTATTTCTTTATATCCTGTTACTTACCTATAATTCCTTGTATATGTTTTTTTTCTATATATTTCTTTATATCCTGTTACTTACCTATAATTCCTTTTATAGGTTCTTCTATCTATTTCTTTATATCCTGTTACTTACCTATAATTCCTTTTATATGTTTTTTTCTATATATTTCTTTATATCCTGTTACTTACCTATAACTCAGTTTTATAGGTTCTCCTTCTCACTATGCCCTTTATTTCTACCTATAATTCCATTTATAGGTTCTGCTTCTATCTACTTCTCTGTAACCTGTCCGGGGCTTATTGTCTAAACCCTTTGTTCTATAACCCTCATCATTACTTACTTGTTATCTCGTTTTATAGGTATTGCTTTATCCCTTTTGTCTTTATTTCCTTTAAGTCTTGCTTCACTTATTATTATTTCAAGTTTAAAACATGTCTAACAATTCCAATAAAGAACCTAAACTTAACCCCTGTATAATTCTTTTTCACTCCGTTTGATAAAGCCTGTAAAGGTGAAACGCGTTATGGACATTTAATATTGTTCTAGTTTAACTTATTGAAGGTTTTTTGGTGACCTTTTTGTGCCAATCTCCTTTGTTATATGCACTTTCCCTGGTAATTTTAAGTTTTGTACTTCAAGTAATCCCAAGGTGGGGATACCACCAAAGTCGTGTTCATAGAACAGTCAGCCAGCTCTATCCTTGTAAGTATAATTTTATAACATGACAGGAGGCTTCGTATTTGCTTAAGACTTTCTTTACTTAAGCTTCACAGCAGCACTTTTTCACATAGTAACAAGGTAACCAATAAGAAAAAAGGAATAACAAGGTATATAGGTCCCTCCCAGTGATGTCATTTCCTCTTTCTTTGCTGCTTCACACCAGTACAGGTCAGAGTGCCACTGTCTCCTACTTTTGTGGGGGGGTTTTTTCTATGATTTATCTAATATTATATCTATCATCTGTTTTATTCATATTTCTTTAGTATATTATTCATATGTATATTTTTACCATTTATTCTATTTCTGACCGATTTATTTTTTCCCATCTCTATCTTCTATGTGGTATTTCTCCTCTACTTTCTTCTTTCCACCTTTATTTTTTGGTTACTGTCTCTTTTATAATTATTGTATTATTGGTTTTGTACCTCTTTAACCCAGTTTCTCCGTGCGGCATTTTTGCCGCGTTTTCCCGGGCTTTTGGTCCTTGGAGTACGCCTCCAACGGTCCCCAGGGCGCGCGGCGGCCATCTTGGATCTCGCTCCCTGCGAGATCCAAACGGCTCTCTCCTTTCACTGCTGCGCGAGCGCGCGAGATCGCGGCGGCCATTTTCTTGGAGCCGCGATCTCCATTCACTCCGGCCGTGCGGCGGCCATTTTTTACCTTTCTACTTGTTAGTCACATAACTTTTATGTACAACATTAACACCTCATATCAAATAATTATACCAAGCGTTCTCTATCTGTTTACTCCTTCTCTAACAAGGAAGGAGTTTGACTCCACATACAGTCTCATCCCTGTATCTCTCTACTTCCCTCTGGTGGTAGATTATAGGTACTACATATATAAATTAATCTCAATATATTTATTTCAACTGCAACAAATTTATTACCCAAACAGTTTCCCATATAAACTTTATATTGCAACTCATATCTACACTATGCATGTGTATAAGGTAAACACATAAAACTAAATTACGATTGCTGTTATCATATACAGCCCATGATTGGCCCGCTTTGTCTGTGCCACTATACCTCTATACGGGTTTGAAAAAGTATTCCCTGAGGTGATTTATACTGGGTGACCCCCACTTACAGCTTGCAATCTGAATAATATCTTACTGTGATATCTCGAGACGGCCTTATTAATACACTCTAACACTGGCCTATTCTGCCCCATAGGTACCAACTGTTGCTATGGAGGCTTCAAATCAAGATCAAAACTTGCAAGCTATTATAAATGCAGCCGTAGCTGCTTCACTTGAAAAGGCCCTGGCTCGGGTGCTGCCCATTGAGCAAAAAGACCCTAAAATTTCCGACACCCCGCTTTCTGACGAAGATGCGGAGGATTCCGATTCCACAAAAAGAAACCCTTCCAAACCATATGAACGTTATTGGAAAGGGAATGGGCCTGAACCCCTCAAGCGTAAGGGGAAAGAACCGGCGAAACGCCCCAAACAGGTGGATGCTAGAGAGAAACACTCCATCCAACCTACTCTGTCGGAAGAAGAGGAAGACTCTTTTGACTTACATCCCTTAGCCATCCTAGATGAATGGCAAGCTGACCACTCCTCAGAAAATGAGGAGGACTGGCCCGAGACTTCCATAAAAGGGCCACCTCTCCCTCAGTCGACTATGGGAGACCTCCCATCTGAAGTTATTTTACCCGGATCACTTCCATCTGGGGACACTGAACCTTTTCTGGATACGCTTGGTCAACCGCTTTTTGACCCAAGACAAATCAGATATCCTCGATCATCCGAATGGTCACTACCAGACCATCTTTCCCAGTATATTCATTTTTGGATCAGAAGACCCCTGGATCGGGAGGTCCGCAAACGACTACGAGCTGAATGCCCCAGACCCACTCTACCGGATAAGGTCGCGGTGACCCCAGAATTTGACACGCTGCTCTACACATATTTGGCTAGATCGGGCCGTGACCCAAAAAAGGGCATTGAACGCAGCCTACGCCTAACCCAAGACAAAATGCTGGACATCCTAGGACCTCTGTCAAAAATTCTTCTACTGGCTGATGAAGCCTTATCTAATGAAGGCCCTCTAGACCCATCTGTGATCAGAGAATGGGCTCTACGCTCTATTTGCCTGCTGGGCAATGCTAATACATCCCTACTGAGCGTAGAAAAGCAGTGCTGCTGCGTATGGATGCTAAGTTAGCTGACTTGGGAACCAAGGAATTGGGCCCCAAAGCACAGGGTCTATTGTTTGGAGAACCCTACATTAAAGAATTACATAAACATGTAAACTTATACGCCACACTAAACAAGGCGCAATCATCCATGAAAAGAGTATTTCACTATCAACCCTCACAGGTTTTTGGCAGGGCTGGCCGTACAAGGGGTCGCACAGTCAGCCGTTTCTGGTCCACAAACCAACGCCAGAGAACCCCAACTTCATCTTTCTTCCCCAACTATCAACCAAGAGGCTCTTACTCCCAAAGGGCGGATAGAGGAAGAGGATACAGAACCCGCGGACGGAGTAGATACCCAACAGGTGAGATTTCCTTCCTTTCACCTTTCTACTGTTTATCATGCGGGCAGGTTGTCACACTGTGTAGACATGTGGAAGACCCTGTCTTCAGATACCTGGGTCCTAAACACAGTTCAGGGTTTCTACATAGAGTTTCATTCTCTCCCTTCTCAAACAGGTTATCCTCACTATCCAAAAATGTCAAGGGCTCAGAGTCTTCACCTAGATTCAGAACTACATTCTCTGCTAACAAAAGGAGCGATCCAACTCGCTCCACCCGACGAAGGTTTCCTCAGCTCCATGTTCTTAGTCAAGAAGAAGTCAGGGGAATTTCGCCCAGTCATCAACCTTCGTCAACTGAACTCTTTCGTTATCTACCGACATTTCAAAATGGAAGGGATTCACCTCCTCAGAGACATCCTCCGACCAGGCGACTGGTTCACCCGTCTCGACCTCAAGGACGCTTACCTTTCGGTGCCAGTACACCCTTCAAGCCGGCGTTTTCTCCGCTTTCATTGGCACCACCGAATTTTCCAATTCACCTGTCTTCCATTTGGCCTGAGTTCCGCTCCGTGGTGCTTCACCAAACTCCTCAAGCCAGTCACCACACATCTGCGAGAAAGGGGCATCCGTTGTTTAATCTACCTCGATGACCTCTTGCTTCTCTGCGAAGACGTATCCAAACTGCGTTCACAGACGAACTATACTTCTGTATTAATCGAATCCTTGGGGTTTGTCATAAACCAAGAGAAATCGTCACTGTCCCCAACCAGAGTCATTCAATTTCTCGGATTCGAAATCGACTCTTCAACCTGTGTTCTTCGCCTACCTCAGTCCAAGTTATCCGCGATCAAGAAGGAACTACGCAAAACACTTCGTCAACAGGATTTACCTCTTCGAGGATTAGCTCGGGTAGTAGGCCTACTCTCTGCCTCCATTCAGGCAATCTACCCAGGCCCCCTTCACTACCGGGCCATGCAACGCCTGAAAGCTCAATTCCTCCGGTCCCATCCATCATACGAGCAGAGGGTCCCGATCACTCCGGAGGTGAAAGAGGAACTCCGTTGGTGGCTCCACCACATGTCGGCCTGGAACGGCAAAGCTATTTTCGGTCCCACCCCAGAATTCGTGGTGGAATCAGATGCGAGCCTCCAGGGTTGGGGCGCAACCTGTCATACAACCTCCACCGGAGGACCATGGACCACCTCAGAACACCTCCTCCACATCAATTGTCTGGAGTTAATCGCAGGCTCATTCGCTATTCGCAGTTTGACCAATCATCTCTCAAACTGCTGTATTCTCCTTCGGATGGACAATATCTCTGCCGTCCAATACATCAACAAATTGGGCGGGGCCAGATCTCGCATCCTCTCCGAAGTGACAAAAGACATCTACGAGTTTTGCTTCCAACGCAACATCACTCTTCGGGCAGAATATCTCCCAGGGGAGACGAATA